CCATATGCGGTAGCCAATGAAGCTCCTGGGTACGCGATGAGGAAGAAAGATGAAAATTTGAGCTGGCCTTTTCCATCTGTGGGGATCGATTTTGAGCCCTTGATCCTCCCTCTCGACTTTTCAACGTGTCACAATTCTTCACACCGGGCAGCTCGAAAACTGCATTGTCACAATCTTCAGCGGTCCAACGCAGAGTCAACGCCTCACAGGCAGGCCTCCCGATGTGTTTTGGGCCACCGTGCCAATAACGAGTTGTGGCCTACCTCCACCCTGCCACTGTAGTGTGCCCGGCGCAGCATACTCAAGAAATTGCAGGGTTCTGGATTGGGTAGAATTTTCGTTACCGGTAACACTGTAAAGCTCGTTTTTCTTCGAAAGAAAAAGACCACACAGAGCCACGGGAAGTTTGGGGATGCGGCAGGAGAGGAACGAAGCGGGGAGAGGGTGGGGAGGGTTTGCTTGCGTAATGTTGTGAAGAGTCGAGCTTTACGCTAACGGGGAATGGACGGTTTGTTCCCAGAGTGCTTCAGTGACTTTGCCTAATTTCGGCGTCTCTAAGTGACGTTGAAATTTCCACAGTGTTTCAGTGACTTAGCGTAGTTTCCTGTGTCTCAGGGACTTGACCTAATTCCCAGTGCATTTCAGTGACTTAGCCTATTTCAGCGTGTCTCATTGACACGGACAGAAATGACAGTGCGTTTCAGTGACTTCACCGCCAAATTTCAGCTCGACTCTCAAGGGAGTTCTAGCAGGTTTAAATGACTTAAACCCGGATTTTGCAGGGCTGAAAAAACGCTCTAACCTGCAAATGAAGGGTAGGATTTGGTTAATGTCTGTAAGTGTCAGGGTGGTAAGGCTGTCAAAGTCATTTTAGCCGGGTGACCTGAAACATCACTCTGAAAAACAGGCTAATCAGGGTAAAACATCCTGACTTCCTGGGGCCTGCCCACAGGTTCTAACACCGGGCAGGTTGCAATTGCATTATTGCACTTGAATTATCACCGAGATTGCATAATTCACATCCAGCAGCCCAACTAGAGTCGCTCCTGGCGAATACTCCCGCGCATTTCACGGCAGCAGGCAGAAAGTGACGCCCTCGGCGTCGCGCTCTCGTTCTTCTTGGTCCATGGAAATGGACTCATCCCCGTCACAAAAAATGGGACGCCCAAAACCTGTCAACAATTGGCGTATCCAACAGGCATGCGCACTCGGGCATGGCGTAGAAAGCTGTTAGCACACACGAAGCAATCATTTCGGGACAAGGAATGCAGATGCACTGTCACTGTCTGGTCGAGCAATGGAACCCCTTTCACATTGTGTTTCCTGGAGGGGTGTGTATTTAGAATCCGGACGGATTCGTGTGTACGTTGACAACAACTTTTTGGGCCTATAAAAATCGTGATTACAGCGACAGAATTTTGGATAAGGCAGCGCTGACGCGGTGACAACATCCAATCGTGCAGTGTGTGGTTTAGGGTTATCGGATGATACATCTCGGATGTCACGCGCTTGTGGCTGACGATTCGCCTTTGGTTACCCATAATTTCGTCGACAGCCAGTTATCGCATCCTGTCAAAGGGCGATAAGTATGCTCAGGGCTACACTAAACTTTGTCGTTAGCCAATCGGAGCCAACCAGGGTCCCTCGTGAGCCAATTATTTGATCCACACGCATGCAACCAAGCCAGCTCAAAGCAAAATTCGCACAACATTTCGCCAAAAATCGCCAATATCTTTCCCAGAAAGACAGTGCAGCAGTGACTTGTCCTTCTCGCTACAAAATTTAGGCCCATCTCATTTCAGCTTCATTTTTACCAGATTTCATGCTCCCTAGCGCCGATCTTCGTTTCAGATTCCTAGCGCACTGCTCTAGTTGTTCCACTTCTACGTTCTTACCTGCGCTCTAAGTACTAAGTCCATTTCTTTATTTCCTGTTCGTTGTCTTCTGTTCCCCCTCCGCCAGGTCCTTACATGGTTGCGCAGCATGCCGGTATGAAGGAGCTTATCCCGCCTGCGTCAATATGGCGACGGCGTGATAGACAGAACAACTACCCTCCCTGCATCAGTCGTCTGGAGATCAGGTATGTTTTTATTCCAACGACGATTATCTAAACATGCATCTTGTCTGTGTCTGTTATATCCTCAGGAAAAGTCCGTTTGTAACAGGGTGCAGGAGCATTCTACGTGCCTTTTCGAATTTGTCCCTGCTTCGGAAGTATATACCATACGGCAAAACAGTTTCGGTCAACATCTGCATCATGCAAATTAGGTAAGTCCACCGTAACATGCTCGTTGCTCTTTTCTGCCTAACTCGTCTTCGTGTGTTTGGTCTATGCTACGAAGCTCGGCTGCGTGTGCTGGTTTATTTCCAGGTTAGGTACGTGCATCACTGGGTGCAGGAACATTCTACGATCCCCCTGTCCTTTCTACCATGTTTGTCGAAGTTATCAATATCCCGTGGTTTCGGTCACATCAACGCCTAACAAGTTAGGTAAGCTCTCTTTTGGTGCTCGTTGCCTATGCTAACTTTGTTGTCTGAGCTGTCTAGCTTTGTTGCGTGTGTTGCCAGCATAGTGCAGGTCCCGTTTGTCTTGTAGATCTAATTAAGTGGCAATAATGCATGCTGCAATTGCGGATACATTGTTTTATCTTGCACTAAACGCTGCTCAAATGCATTAGTGGTAGTTTATTGTAAAATTGAATTTGTTCACATGTAAGGCATTCCAGAACATCAGCTGGAATACAGCTGAAGGTATTTATATTGTGGCACTATACCTAAAACTGACAATTTCACTCACTGACGCGCATATAGCAAAAGTTGTAAATCTTTTCTGTAATGCTTGTATAAGAAGTCTTTCTAATTTACGATGAGTCAGGTGTACTGTGGTAACCTTTTTGTTTCGTTACAGAGAACCTCTTGTATGAAGTTCCCCAAATCTTGTAGTGAGTATGAGCAGTGTTTGCCTTATGTTGGCGCAATCCTTGCCGAGCTTGACGTGGTTTGCACTTACAAACCTCACAACGAAACCTCAAACAATCCCTGCGCGGTGGAACATTTCTGAAGATAGACCTCAAACATTGGTGCCTGGGACATACTACAAGCAGTGCTTTAGGATTTCATGAGGAAAAATTTCTGCCAAATTTTTTTGTGACGCCGACTATAAATCCTGCCGCTTACATGCTCTAACCATCAGACTCAATTCATATTTTTTATCTCAGTTGTCAATCTCTCCCAGCCCATTTCATTACAACGCCATGGCTCGTGCCCTTCTCTCCGTCAACATCGTGATCTTCCTCGCTGCAGTTCTGGCGCTCTGTTTCGCCCAAGGTACGGCCCGTATACTCTTACGCCATCGCGAAACCTAAGCCGAGGCCCTGTCACTGCGCCCTCACGAGTCTTGTTGCATTTTTCCCTCCTCATTTTTCCCTCACTTTCGCCGCCAGCCCACGTGCTCCCACAGACCACACTTAGTTCAACACGATTTCCACATCACTCGTTTTGTCCACATGCAGCCTGTGGCAGCTCAAGAGCGGCTCTGGGTCTTGACTGAAAAACGCTCGCCTGGCGCTTGCGTGCCACGCGACATCCTCTTCCCTCTGCCTGACTCGTGTCTCGTGCAGGGGGGGAACTTCCCCTGCAAGAGCCACAAAGTCAGGGGGGAAGTTTCACCTTGGGAAGTCTTATCTCACCGTCCGCCCATCCCCTATCCACCCACTCCCTCCTGCCCGAAGCACACTACCTTCAGTCTCACTCCCCTCATAAATCTGCCCACTCATCCCCATCTCACTCTCCACCTCCTCCGCTTAACATTCTCTCTGCCCCTCACTCGTCTCACTCCCCTTAACCTGCCCCTACCAGCAACGAGCGCCGAGGCGGCAGGCGTCGTCACAGCAGAAAACGCGGCGAGTGCCGTGCAGCCCAACGAAGTGCCGCGCGAGCAGCACCACCGCAAGCTCGTTATGTTTTTCGGCGATGGTAAGTTCTCTGCCGGTCCCCCTCTGTGCATTCTAGCCGGGTTTCCAGAGTGATCGTTTCTCTCCAAATGTCTGTTTTCCTTCAAATTCACTATGATAGCCTTCATAGTGAAGCGACGGCCTTCATTTCTCTGCAGCAATGAGACACTACCGGCTTTGATATCGCATTTTTTCCGGAAAAGGCCGAAAATAATCACAACCCATGCTCCTCAAACCTCCTATTCTGCCTGCTTCCTCACTTGTCGGTCCCTACTACCACCACCCCATGTCTTTCTACCCCATGCCGGTCGGATCTCTCTCGAAAGACGCAAAACTGCAACGCCCAGAGCAATCCGGACGCCCGACAGAAATGCCTTGACGCCCTGGCGCCGCTGCGTCGGGACTGCCTTGCTGGAGTGGCTTCGGCGAACCCCACTAACGACGGTCAAACGACGACTAACAACGGGGGCCGACTGGGCAAAACTATGGGGGATCCATATGGCCTGTGATCTACGCTAAGGGGAAAGGAGTAGTTGGAAGAAACATGGGTGAAGGAGAAGTGACGGGGGAGCAATTACTAGAAGAAGATTGACAAGTGAGAAAACGGGGGAGGAAAAGGTGGGCTGGTAAATGAAAGTGTGTGTGCTTTGGTAGAAGTGTTTGTACTAGACATTTGTGAACAACACAATTGAAATCTCTCGCTTCAACTTTGTGTTCAACTGTGATTGGTCGACATTTTGTGGTGCTGGAATGAAACTCCCGTCAAAGTTCCGTTTTGGCTAGGTCTTAATTCATCCTTTAAAGGCCCGTCAAAGGCGAGTCAACGGGGATCAACGCAAGTCAACGGAGTCAACTCACCTTGCCGCCAACGCAAGCCATGGTGACTGTCGCCACTCCCTCTTGGATTAGCTGGCAAGCTACGTACATGCCAAGTGCCGTGTGATGTGAATGAGTCCATGCGTTTAATGGCCGCCGGTGCACTGCCGTACTCTACAGCCTTGTCTCCGCTGCCTCTCCTGCCCGTACTCTTTACTGACTGATTGACCAATGGGCACAAAGAAAAGGAGATCCCGGGCTACCTGCTGTTCTGCCACCTTCCGAGCATTTAGGCTCCCTAGGATCTTTTTGAACACAAAACATTGTTTGTTCCCATGTCCCGACCCTCACCTTCAGGTTCGGCCGCTGGTTCGGAAGCCGGGCCGCCTTGTGATCACACAGCAGCGGCTCTACTTCCAGGTGACATCTCGTGCAGGTGACATATGGTGCAGGTGATATCTCGTGCAGGTGACGTCTGGTGCAGGTGACATCTGGTGCAGGTGACATCTGGTGCAGGTAGCATCTGGTGCTGGTTGCTGCTGTTCTCAACTTAACACCCCCCATCTCCACACTTCTTGTCAACTCCATGTCTGCTTATCTCCACCATTAACCCCTCGGACCCTCCCACCCTCGGACCCTCCCATTCGTGCTCCCTCCTTTCAAGCCATTGTTCATCCCTCACCTCACTCCCACTCGTGAAGATCCTTCTCTTGCATATTTTTTCTGCCCCTCTCTGGCACCTTCCCTCCGGCCCCCATACTCCCCGTTCTCCTCTCCTCTCTATCTCCTCTCTCCCCTCTTCTTCACCCCTCTTCACTCTCGCCCCTCTCATCTCTCCCCTCTCCCCTCTCCTCTCTCTTCCTTTTCTTGGCAGCCCTTGCATCCATCCCTTTCCAATACTCCACCCCGCCCACTGCCCCCACTCCTCCCTGTTCTCACCGCTCTCCCCCCTGTCCCGTCTGCCGCCTCCTTGTCCCCTCCTTCCTCCTCCCCCTCCCCATTCTGACAGCCACTGCACGCCATCAACCGAGAGAATCCCCTATGAATCTTCCCGCTGCCCCTCCTCCTCTCTGTCCTCGCCTCTCTCTGCACCTCTTACCTATCTTTCCGCTCTCCTTCCATCCCTCCTCCCTCTGTCAGGTCAGCCACTGCACGCCATCAGCAGTGAGAGCCCCCTTCGAATCTTCCTGCTGCCACTCCTCCGTGTTTTCCCCTCGTTTTGCCCTCTACTTCTGCCCCCCAAACCCCCTCCGCTGACAGCTATTACATGATTACACGCCATCAACAGTGAGATCCCCCTCTCGATCTTTCCCCTGCCTCTTCTCTCTGCTCTCACTTTGTTTTTCCCGTCTCCCGCTAATTCCTTCCCCCCGCCCCCGCCCCCTTCTCTTACAGCCATTGCACGCCATCAGCAGTGAGACTCCCCTCCGAATCTTCCCGCTGCCCCTGCACTTCTCTTTATCAACTTTGCACCCCTCTTCCCTCTCTCCCTCTCCCCCGCCCCCACCCCCTCCTCTGACAGCCATTGCACGCGATCAGCAGTGAGAGCCCCCTTCGGATCTTCCCACTGCCCCCCCTCCTCTCCGTTATCAACTTTGCACCCCTCTTTCCTCTCTCCCTCCCCCCCGTTCCCCCCCCCACTCTCACAGCCACTGCACGCCATCAGCAGTGAGAGTCCCCTCCGAATCTTCCCGCTGCCCCTCCTCCTCTCAGCTGCCCGCCGCCGCCACTCCCTGCGCCCCCGCGGCCTCGAAATCTTCTTCTCCTGCCCAGACCAATGACAACGTGCCAGCTCAGGAGGCACAGGGGGAGGAGGGCTGGAAGGGGGAGGCGGCACCGGTGGGAGAGGAGGGGGGAGGGGGGGAGGTGGGGGGAGTGGGGGGAGTGGCGGGGTCGGGGGGAGAGTGGGGGCGGAGGGCCGTTGGGGGATGGCAGCAGTGTGTTCTTTGTGTTTGGTTCAGAAGTGGAGAGGGACCGAGCTGCTGACCTGCTGCTGAAGCTGCTGGGAGTGAGTGAAGCAGGGTGATTTTCCGTCTGTCGTGCCCTCTCTGTCTACGCATGTTCCGTGCCCGTCTTGACTTTCACCCTCCTAATTTTCAATTCTGATTCCCACTCGTCTTTCTTCTCAACCTTCTAATTATCCATTTCTAACTCCCCCGTTTCAAACACCCACCCTCCCATTTTTCGCACCCCCATTTCCCACCCGTCCGTGTCCCTCCTTCCCAAACGAGTCCCAGGGTGTGTCCAGCCCAGCAGCAGCGGCAGCATCGCTGCTCGGCTCGCTCGCTTGCACTGCAAGCTGTCACAGGGCTGTGGCAGGTGGGGCAGTGGCAGGTGGGGCAGTGGCAGGTGGGGCAGTGGCAGGTGGGGCAGTGGCAGGTGGGGCAGTGGCAGGTGGGGCAGTGGCAGGTGGGGCAGTGGCAGGTGGGGCAGTGGCAGGTGGGGCAGTGGCAGGTGGGGCTGTGGCAGGTGGGGCTGTGGCAGGTGGGGCAGTGGCAGGTGGGGCTGTGGCAGGTGGGGCAGTGGCAGGTGGGGCAGTGGCAGGTGGGGCAGTGGCAGGTGGGGCAGTGGCAGGTGGGGCAGTGGCAGGTGGGGCAGTGGCAGGTGGGGCAGTGGCAGGTGGGGCAGTGGCAGGTGGGGCAGTGGCAGGTGGGGCAGTGGCAGGTGGGGCTGTGGCAGGTGGGGCAGTGGCAGGTGGGGCAGTGGCAGGTGGGGCAGTGGCAGGTGGGGCAGTGGCAGGTGGGGCTGTGGCAGGTGGGGCAGTGGCAGGTGGGGCAGTGGCAGGTGGGGCAGTGGCAGGTGGGGCTGTGGCAGGTGGGGCAGTGGCAGGTGGGGCTGAGGCAGGTGGGGCAGTGGCAGGTGGGGCAGTGGCAGGTGGGGCTGTGGCAGGTGGGGCAGTGGCAGGTGGGGCAGTGGCAGGTGGGGCTGTGGCAGGTGGGGCAGTGGCAGGTGGGGCAGTGGCAGGTGGGGCAGTGGCAGGTGGGGCAGTGGCAGGTGGGGCAGTGGCAGGTGGGGCAGTGGCAGGTGGGGCTGTGGCAGGTGGGGCAGTGGCAGGTGGGGCAGTGGCAGGTGGGGCAGTGGCAGGTGGGGCAGTGGCAGGTGGGGCTGTGGCAGGTGGGGCTGTGGCAGGTGGGGCAGTGGCAGGTGGGGCAGTGGCAGGTGGGGCAGTGGCAGGTGGGGCTGTGGCAGGTGGGGCTGTGGCAGGTGGGGCAGTGGCAGGTGGGGCAGTGGCAGGTGGGGCAGTGGCAGGTGGGGCAGTGGCAGGTGGGGCTGTGGCAGGTGGGGCTGTGGCAGGTGGGGCAGTGGCAGGTGGGGCTGTGGCAGGTGGGGCAGTGGCAGGTGGGGCTGTGGCAGGTGGGGCAGTGGCAGGTGGGGCTGTGGCAGGTGGGGCAGTGGCAGGTGGGGCTGTGGCAGGTGGGGCAGTGGCAGGTGGGGCTGTGGCAGGTGGGGCAGTGGCAGGTGGGGCTGTGGCAGGTGGGGCTGTGGCAGGTGGGGCTGTGGCAGGTGGGGCTGTGGCAGGTGGGGCTGTGGCAGGTGGGGCTGTGGCAGAGACCGGCCGCATATCCAACCGGAACTATCTGCTCTGCTCTTCCTCAACCTAGCAGCAGGGCGCACCATGTGTGACTTGGCGCAGTGGCCGGTCATGCCGCATCTCCTCCGATTTTCCATGAACCACCATGCCACCCACACCCCCCCAATCCACGTCCCTATGCCCATGCCCATGCTCTCAGACCGGTCGCATATCCAACCGTGACTACCTGCTCTTCCTCAACCTGGCAGCGGGTCGCACCATGTGTGACTTGGCAGAGTGGCCTTTCCATGAACTACCATGCCACCCACAACCCCCCTCTCATACCCCCCACCTCCCCACTTCTTGCCAGACCGGTCGCATATCCAACCGTGACTACCTACTCTTCCTCAACCTGGCAGCAGGGCGCACCATGTGTGACTTGGCGCAGTGGCTATTCGTGCCGCATCTCCTCCCATTTTCCATGAACCACCATGCCACCCACACCCCCCCCAACTCACATCCCTGTCCCCCTTGCTCTCAGACTGGCCGCATATCCAACCGTGACTATCTACTCTTCCTCAGTCTGGCAGCGGGGCGCACCATGTGTGACTTGGCGCAGTGGCCTGTCATGCCCTGGGTGCTTGCAGATTACACCTCCCACCACCTTGACTTGGACAACCCCGCCACCTTCAGAGACCTCTCCAAGGTGACTGCTCTCCCCGGGCTCTGCTGCCCTGCCTGCTTGCCGGAGTGTGTGTGTGTGACTTGGCGCAGTGGCCAGTCATGTCCTGGGCGCTCACGGACCATACCACCCCGCACCTTGATTTGGATGACCTCTCCAAATCAAGGTGCCCACCCATGCTCAGACATCTCTCCAAGGTGAATTCCCTGCCTGCCCGCCCATCCCGCCTGCCTGCCCCGCCCGCCCGCCCGCCCGCCTGCCTGTTATAGATAAGGACGGAGTCTATGAAGATTAGGTGCCGAAAATTGCTCAAATCGTTGGTCCTATTTTCTGGACAGAAACCGCGGTTTCACAAGAAACGTCGTCGCCGAAAAGTTCACCGTTAGAATCGTCTCAAACTCGAGTATGTTATAGCCCTTGACCGTGGCTATCATTCCCAATTTGAATCGTATCGAAAGGTGGAGTAAAACTCGGCGCACAAGGGGGTATGCTGCCACAGAAAATTAACTCAATCACAATTAACTCACAAGTTCTCACAAGTTCCACAAAGAACATTAGAGTAGCACTAAACCAGGTGGGAGGGAAGAGGAAGACAAGAGGGAAGGTCCCAAGGAAGTCCCCAACCAAGGAAATCCCATGCCACACAATTTCCCTCTCCATAGGCAACCCCACTTTCACATTTGTCACTTTCCCAACTCATGCCATCCACCTCAACCCACTTGGCCACACTTGCCAACCTGGTTTGGCTTCTCCCAACCACATGGCAGCAATCTACAGTGATGGATTCAAATGTCCCAACCCCAAAAAGTCTGTACCCCATATTGAGTCACTCTCACAACTTCCCAAAGTCGCCGCAACCAAAGTACAGAAAGCATACGAACTCCAACGTTCGTAACTTTCTTGATCTTGCTCCGATCGCGACGATTCTTGGCTCGTCGGAAAGCTCTTGAGCAGAGCAATCACTTCAGATATCTGCTCAAGCCAAATAACATTCACACACACTCAGAAAATCCAAACCGCGCAAAACACAAATTCTTGCACACGCTCACACAACGCATGCAACGCACAAACATATGATGGGAGGCAGACAGACGTGAATGCATATGATTGCATCACATAACACTGCCGGCCACCTCATGTGTATGCGCTGAAGCTGCACTGAGGAGGAGCAGTCCAAAGCAGCACTTGGAAGCAGCGCTCACATCTCCTCACCTCTCTCCTTCGTCCCCTCCCCACCTCTCTCCTTCGTCCCCTCCTCACCTCTCTCCTTCGTCCCCTCCTCACCTCTCTCCTTCGTCCCCTCCCCACCTCTCTCCTTCGTCCCCTCCCCACCTCTCTCCTTCGTCCCCTCCCCACCTCTCTCCTTCGTCCCCTCCTCACCTCTCTCCTTCGTCCCCTCCTCACCTCTCTAATTCGTCCCCTCCCCACCTCTCTCCTTCGTCCCCTCCCCACCTCTCTCCTTCGTCTCCTCCTCACCTCTCTCCTTCGTCCCCTCCCCACCTCTCTCCTTCGTCCCCTCCCCACCTCTCTCCTTCGTCCCCTCCTCACCTCTCTCCTTCGTCCCCTCCCCACCTCTCTCCTTCGTCCCCTCCCCACCTATCTCCTTCATCCCCACCTCACCTCTCTCCTTCTTCCCCTCCCCACCTCTCTCCCTCACCCCTTCTCACCTGTCCCTCCATTTTTCCCTGCTCCTCCTTCTCTCCCTCCCCACCTCCGCAGCCAGTGGGAGCACTCAACCCAGCACGGCTCGCAGAGTTCAGAGAGCGGTACGATGAGGTAAGGAGTGGTACATTGTGATAACGAGTGGTGCAGTGAAATAACGGGCGGTGCAGTGAGTGATGCAATGAAGAAAGGATTGGTTTGACAAGACGAGGCCCTCCTTTGTCCGTCGTTTGCCAACCATCGACTACCGTGGTGGCTCTTGAGTCGATTCAAAAGTCGACAAGTCGAGACCCCCCTGTGGTCCGTTGTTTGCCAGCCACTGCCTTCCAGCATCCCCTCATTGTTCCCCTTCTCTTCATTTACGTTGATAGTAAAACCCTTGCTTGCTTGCTTGCCACTCGTGCCACTCCTCCCATCTCCCCGTACCAGATGCCTCGGGTCAAGGGTGGATCAGAATACGCACCTTGCTTTTGAATGGACTAAAAACTCAGCTCCTACCCCTCACCACACCACCAACCCCACCCATCTCCCCTTCCCCCCACGCACACACGGCAGATGCCTCGGGACAAGAGTGGGTCAGAGCGAACCAAGCCTTTCCTCTACGGCACTCACTACTCCACTCCTGGGTACGCTGGGATGGGCGCTTTCTGCTGTTACATATGTTTATGAATCTCCGGCGCCCTCCACTCCAGTCCAGGATACGCTGATTCTGGGTTCACAGTTCTTTGCAATGTTGCCACTGAAAGGGCCGGGTGTACCGTGACTGCTCTTTCACTCCGGGGTGCACTGAACCCTTTCTGCTTGCACCTTCTTTTGCATGCAACCACCTTCCCGTCCAGCCATGCCATGTCGACCGCTGCATTGCATGTCCCCCGACCCATGTTTCCCCAATCCAACCCACATGTGTCACATGTGCCTTCAATGCATGCCTGCATGCATGCAGCTACGTGCTCTACTGGCTCGTGCGCTCTGCACCAGCGCACATGCTATGGCTGCAGGTGAGTCTCCCTCATCTCTCTCTCCACTGTGCTATGGTCTCATCACTCTTACATATTGTGAACTCCACACTCCTGGGAGAAGTCTAAGCAATTAGCAAATTTCTTGGTGCACCGGACTTGCTGCAGTTGATTAAAACCTCTTGTTTTTCTATTCTCCTCCCCATTTCAAAAAACCAACCCTTTCCACCACCGCAACACCCCCCCACCTTCCCCCAGTTCCTAAACAACCCTTCAGTGAAACCTTCCCCTGCAGGCCATTGGTTAGAAGGTTTGGGATGCATGCACCCGCTTGTTGCAGTTTGGACAGTTCCTCTTCTTTGAATGGTCCTTTGTAGTAGCCTTATGTTTTGCGAGTTTTGAGAAATTTCAAAACTCGCTCACAACATAGTCATATGGACAGTGACTCATCTCGTTCCTGCTCTTCTTTTGAGTCGACTCACCTGTGGCTGTGGTAGTCATATGTATAGTGATACATCTCGTTCCTGCTATCCTCTCTCCGCACACACTCGCACCTCTCTTATTCCAGTCGCTCTCGTCTCTTCGCCTCCTCCGAAACCCTCCTGACCCTCCCTTATCAAAACACTCCCTTGAACTCCCTTCCCTGGGCAACCCTATTCACCGATTTTTTTACTCAAGCGGTCCGTGTATTAGATCCAAGCGAGTACAGACATGCACAGGGTATAGAAGGACAACCAGTGAATCAGCTTCTAAAACCCCCATATCTCTCCACCACCCCATCTCCCTTACCCTTTCACCACCCCCCCCTTCCACTACCACCCGCTCTTACCAGAACGGCCGCTTTGACTCACCAGACCGGCTGTTCACAGGTCTGCAGGAGTCGTGGGAGAGTGTGCTGTCGTTTTCCAAAGCGCCTCAGTTCTTTCCTCAACCCCTTCTCCCCTTCTCCCCATCAGAACGGCCGCTTTGACTCACCAGACCGGCTGTTCACGGGCCTGCAGGAGTCGTGGGAGAGTGTGCTGTCCAACGCCACTGACGTCAAGGAGCTCATCCCGCACGTCTTCTCGCTGCCCGCACACTTCCTCCGCCTCCCGTGAGTTACTCCTTTTGAGGCCAATCAAGACTCCACACAGCGTACTTGCTGGGCCTCCCATGAGTGGCTATTAAGACGCCTCACAAGCCAACGTCAAGGAGCTCATTCCCCACTTCTTCTCGCTTATTGCGCATCACAAGCCTCCTCCTCCCGTGAGTGTACCTGCCTGGCTCTCCCCATCTTGCTAGTAATATCCGCTTCTTGTGCTCTTCTCCTCCTGCTTGCATCCTCGCCCTTTCCCTCATCCACCACCACCATGCACATCTTACCCTCCACACTTGCACACATGACATGGCATGACACGGCATGGCTACAGTATATATAGTTTTCGCAGCCTCACCACCCTCTCTTCTGCACGACCACCTCTCAGGCCGGAGATCAATGTAGGCATGCGCCAGAACGGAGTGGCTTCTGATTTGATTCGACTCAGCAGTCACCTCTTTGCTCCCTCATCACCCCACCCTCTCATCACCTCATCACCCCACCCTCTCATCACCTCATCACCCCACCCTCTCATCACATCATCACCCCACCCTCTCATCACCTCATCACCCCACCCTCTTATCACCTCATCACCCCACTCTCTCATCACCTCATCACCCCACCCTCTCATCGCCTCATCACCCCACCCTCTTATCACCTCATCGCCCCACCCTCTCATCACCTCATCGCCCCACCCTCTCATCACCTCATCACCC